CCCCCCCCCCAAAAAGCCTTTGTGGGTGTCATAAGGAAGGACATCCGAGTAACGAGCGACCACCCCAACAAACACAATAAAGAAGAGACCTAACCATCCATCCATCCATCCATCCCCCCCCCCCTCCCTCCCTCCCTTCACCCATTTGAAAAATTCGAATAGTCTTTCTTCTTAACTTCATGGTGCCCGCTTATAGCTCCACTGAGAAGGGAGACCCTGGGTGTGCGTGGTAGGCCAAGTAAGTTCCTTAAGGAGGGCTCAAGTCTACTTTGAGTCAAAGAATCAGGATTTGTGTCTCGGCTAAACTGCTGACTTTCCCCAGAGAAGCGACGTTGAGACCCCCCCACGAACAGCCTAAAGAAATGTTAATTTTTGGTGATAAAGATGACATGTATTGATAAAATAGAGATATGATGAATAGTAAAATGGGCTGACGACAGGAATAACAAAACCTGGGCTTCAAAGGCAAGGCACAAAGAATGTCGTCTTCGCATCTCTTATTTTTGGAAGGTTTTTTTTTCCTAAGGGTTTTTGGTTGAGGGCGGGGGATTGGTAAGAAATAATATAGACAAAACAACAAAAGAAGAAAAGAGATAAGGGGGCAAGGGAGGGGGGGGGCGAGAAGCTATTTTCGCGGGGAGTAAGGGGTAGGGGTGGAAAAAAACAGAGCTCATAGCGTACATAACAAAAAAAAACAACAAAAAACAAAACAACCCACCTCTAAAAAAACCCAAAAAACAAATCAACCTCAAAACAGATGAGTCAAGAGACAGAGTATAGCATAATAATTCCTCGGAAATCGCTCAATCATTCCTGAAGTTTTATGTATGAACATTCTTTCCCGCTTGAGACATTGTGCACCAACCAAACAAAGACGCCATTTCCACGCCCCGTCGCTTCTTCCCTATCCCAAACATTCCAAAGTAGTTTCGCATGTCCTCCTTCGACCATGTTCAGATCGCAGTTTACGAGAGTGTTTTCGACACATAAACTATCAGGCAAATGCGTGTGTGTGTGTGTGTGCGTGTGTGTGTGTACGTGTGTGTGTGTGTGTGTGTGTGTGTGTGTT